GACCACAGACAGAGGCAGACGACCGGGACCACAGACAGAGGCAGACGACCGGGACCACAGACAGAGGCAGACGACCGGGACCACAGACAGAACCAGAGGCGGACGACTGGGACCACAGACAGAACCGACAGCGAAGACCGAGGCCACAGACAGAGATACGGGCGGACGACCGGGGCCACAGACAGAGCTCGACAGCAAAGACCAAGGTCGGGGCCGCAGACAGCGCCAGAGGCGGACGACCGGGGCCGCAGACAGCCAGAGCCATCTGAAGATGTTAAGTTAAAAGACAGAGTGAAAAGCCAGGACTCAAGAATACAAAGGTTATGGCCAGGCAACTAACTTTAGCGCCATAGACAGAGCGAGAGGCCGACGACCGGGACCACAGACAGAGCTTGACAGAGGCTATAGAACTTTCTGTGTCATCCAAACAATCAAAGGATCCAACGGTGAAAAAAATATGCTGCAGACTTTTAGAAAGAGATCTAAGGTCAGAATGACTCTTTATGGATGTCAAACATGGACAAAGGAAAATAGGAACAGTTCTGATACTGACAAAGATTTTTAGGAAACACAAGCAAAACAAAACAAAACAAGGGGACTCGAACTCCCGGGATTTAAGCACAAACGACCAGACAATTGGTCTTATTTTAGACAATTTTTTTAGAAAGACCCAGAGCTTTTGAAAAGGTAAAAGAGAAAGTGGATAAGAAGAAAGAAGTTGGAAGGACTGAAGTCATCACACTGATGAACACGGCGGTGGGAAACTGAACACGGCGGTGGGAAACTGAACACAAAGAGAAGACATTTCACCACTGGTGAAATCACCCTGCAGACAGACCTGAACTGGTGGCCTCCCAACCACAGGTCCTAACCCGCATTGCCACACAGCACCCCCTAGAGGACAGGAATGGCGTCTGTTACAGGGCAACCATCCATCCATCCATTTTCGGTAACCATTTCAGGATCACGGGTACATAGTAACCATGAGTCAAAATGAACAAGCTAACAACAACATTAACATTAACATTAACAAGAACAATAACAACAACAATAACAATAACAACAACAACAATAAATAATAATAATAATAATAATAATAATAATGTCCCAATAATACATTATGGCATCCATCCATCCATCCATGCATTTTCTGTACCCACTTGTTCTGTTCAGGGTTGTGGAACTATTATTATTGTTGTTGTTGCTGTTATTAAGTCTATCCCCCTTCTGGGAAACCCTGGGGTTTGTCATAAAATGCACTCCCAATGTTATTATGTATCCAATAACAAAACATTCTTCAATAATTATTCTAGATTATTCAGTGTCTGGATTAAGGGGAATAGTGCTCCATTTTCTTATTTTTGCAGAGACCGAGGTCTTTATGAAGGCAGGTCAAAGAATTCAGTCACCACCGTTCCTGAAAACACAGGAATCAATTTACCAATAGAGCGTATCTGTGCGTGTCAGTGGCAGAGAGAAGATGAACCACTCCGGGTCTCTGCAGCACACAGCAGCTTTTGCAGAGCTGAGCTCATAAATCCAGCTCAATATGCATTAACCAGAGAGTTACACCATGTCTGTATGAGTATACAGAAATAGGCTGAAAACGCAAAGCCACAAATTTCATGACACCCACTGTTGAAATCAGCCCTCTTTGCACATAAGGTTCTCACTGCTGAACCTCTTCCCCCAGCCCAGACTGTCAGCCCGGTGGTAGCACATCTAACTGCTGGGGGGCCAGTAGGTGGAAGCCACTTCACTCTCTACCTGACCTGAGATCAGTGTTACACTGCTGCTCTTACACACACCCAGATCTCCATAGAGCTGTAGCATCGCAGCCGTAACTGTCCCAGACCCTCCTTATGCTTCGCTAGCTCAATAAATCAGCCTGAGAAATGAGCCTATAAAATAAGCTGTGCAAGTTTCATAGTATCGTGATACTGCATTAATCCTTCTGGGGAAATTCTTATTTTGCTTTACCCCATTTTACTCTCCTTGAGACACACAGACACACATACAGGTGAGAGCAAGCTTGGGGGGAGGGGGGGGTGTCACAGCAAAGGGCAGCCACCTTTATGCTCCCGGGGAGCTCAAGGGCCCACATACAAGTGCCTGTTCTACTGAGGGGGGCTCGAACCAGCAACCTTCTGATCACAGGCACTTAGCCCACTGAGCTACACACTGCCCCCTCCTTTAAAAAAAATAATAATGATAATAAAATAAGAAAAATAAAAAAAGAAGAGAGGAGCCAACTACGATGCATTTCACAAACGTGCAACCCCGTTTCAAGTCAGACACACAAACTGTGTTAAATGCTTCTCTGACCCAGATGTAAATACCACCAACGGCACCACTGACTAACTCTGAGGACCACATAGAAAATACGGCTCAGATTCTACTCCTCCAGCACGGACACATGACCACACTGATGACACATAGCTAACAGAAAGCTACTGGCAACAGACAAACCCTCCGAAAAAGCTCATCAGAAAGATCATATTTACACCACGGAAGCAAACAGCTCAGTGACTTGATGCCTGGGTAACTGTCATACTGGGGTTTGAACAGTGATGTCCACATACAGGAGCTGCCCCTCCATACGGAGGAACCTGCTTTAAGCATTTCTCCAGGGTGAGAAGTAAAACAGAGGAACCTGTGTACTGGCAGACCTGGAACCCACTGTCCCCCCTCCCGAAGCATTATGGGCATCCTGGGCAGGATGTTACTCTGAGGCTACATCCGAACAACTCATCACAGGAGCCCCCCCAGGAACAGCCCTCCGATCAGCAGTGAGCGGCTACCTGTGCACAACAGGGAGGCAAACACACTGCCGCAAACCGGTCAGCAGCACCTGTGCCGAACTCCTCTAGGGTTAGGGGTCTGAATCCCGCTCCGCTCAGTGTGCATGGAGGAGCTTTGGGTTTGAATCCCACTCCGGTCAGTGTGCGTGGAGGCCCTTTGGGTTTGAATTCCACTCCGGTCAGTGTGCGTGGAGGCGCTTTGGGTTTCAATCCCGCTCCGGTCAGTGTGCGTGGAGGCGCTTTGGGTTTCAATCCCGCTCCGCTCTGTGTGCGTGGAGGCGCTTTGAGTTTCAATCCCGCTCCGGTCAGTGTGCGTGGAGGCGCTTTGGGTTTGAATCCCTCTCCGGTCAGTGTGCGTGGAGGCGCTTTGGGTTTGAATCCCGCTCCGCTCAGTGCGCGTGGAGGCCCTTTGGGTTTGAATCCTGCTCCGCTCAGTGCGCGTGGGTTTGAATCCCGCTCCGCTCAGTGCACGTGGAGGCCCTTTGGGTTTGAATCCCGCTCCGCTCAGTGCGCGTGGAGGCCCTTTGGGTTTGAATCCCGCTCCACTCAGTGCGTGTGTGGAGATCTCAGGGCTGTCCCCAGCACCCCATACCCCATCTTGGAGCCCCACGCTAGCTGGGACAGCGACCCCGACCAGGATAAGCAATTAGAAGATGGACAGATTTTGAATTAAGAGTCTATGGTTCAAGTATACTTGCATTTTCCAAAATATTTCATTGCAATTCTGAAATAATTTTATGCTACTCCTATAACAATGATCATGTTTAGTCTAAGCCATGTTATGGTTCTCTCTTCATGCTACGTAGCCAGTGCAAAATTAACCACCCAGTTGTGGCACAAATGCAAATTCATCCAACAATAAATCGGCAAGTTTAGAAACATGACAGCTTACGAAAACACAAGCTAAACAAACAGCTGCATCTAGCCCACATAATTATTAGCTAAAAAAAAAATAGTCAGGGTGCAATGGAAGTGCCCGTGAATTAAAATCACCGGCAAACGGGAAGATGGGAAAGTCGACGGAGACATCCACAGTCCCATCATGCACTGCTGCTTCGGGAGAAAGGACTGACGAATGGCCGTTATGTAACGGAAAAAAAGACATGGCAGCATCACACAACCAGAACGAGCCGATTCAAACGTTCCGATGATAAATGTCAGGTGCCTGTAATCGCGCTCGTTCACACACCTGCAGCTCAGCGCGATACGAGCAGCGACGCGACCATCAAGCACAACGGCAGGAACAAACCAAACGAAAGGCCCGCATTAAAGTGCCGTGAAAATGGGCAGTGCTCAGGTCTGAGAGCCAGTGGAGCTCACAGCGATGACAGAGTCCAAAGGCCATTTAGCCTTTACTGAAAATGAAGGATGGGAGAGCAGAGAAGGGAAGAGCAGAGGAGGAGATGGATAAATGGATAGGAGCAGGGGGATGGATTCAGCACGGCTGCCTGCCGTCGCTGCTGCTCCACGCAAAATGGTAGAGCCCAGAGCCCACGGAGCGATCCATGAGATCGAGGCACAAACAAAAACAAGCAACTGAGAGAGGAGGCGCGGCGATGGCGGCGAGGGAGACGGGGACCAGGGGCGTGCATGCAGCCCGGGGTGGGGGGGGGGCATGGACGTCCAGAGCCGAGTGACGGGGGCTACTTACGTGAAGATTCAGTGCCGAACATGGCTGGGCTGGGCGCTGTGGTGTAGAGAGAGGGAGGAAGGGAGAGAGAGGGAGAGAGAGAGAGAGAGAGAGAGAGAGAGAGAGAAAGAGAGGGGGCGGTGAGCGGCAGCTACACAGCGGGGGTCATCAACGCACACAATGCAGCCGCAGCTCCATGCCGGGGGGGGCTCTCCACTACAGCGTCACTCATAGAACGAGCCAGAAAGACGACGGCGCTTTAAAACGGGTCCGGAGAAGCATCCAGCGCGGCGGCATGAGCTGTGCGGGCGTCTGAGTGTGTGGCCATACGCAGCCGCTCTCTGTCCGCCCCCCCCGACGCAGAGGGGCTGGACTAGGTGAAGTAGAAACCAGATACTGCAATGGGCTGCCCCCGCCCCCTCAACCCCCCCCCCCGGGTAGACAATGGCACCGGCCGTGCGGACGGG